ACGGGGAGGAGGAGCCAGGGCGACGCCGGCCGGGGCGCGGCTCCTCCTCCGCGGCCCGCGGCGCCCGGGCGGCCGAGGGAGGAGCGCCACGCGGTGTCCCGGCCCCCGCGGGGTCCGCCCCTGGCCCCCACCCGGACGGGTACAGGGCCTCGGGTTCCGGGGATTGCTCAGGTAGCGGGGACACGGGGGGAGCCCGGTCCAGGGTTGGCTGCTGGGTGACGCTGTGAGGTCGCTTCGGAGATTTGAACTTGGAAAACGCAGGGTTCCAGGGGCGCAGGTGGATCGGCGCTCTCAGGTCGCCGTCAAGCAGGGGCTAGTGCGCCCACCCCTCCACCCCCTGCCTTCTAGCCTCTCCTTGCGAGCGCGCCGCTCACACCCCGCTGCGCCTGAGACACCCAGCCAGCCACCTCTGCGCGTGGAGGAAAGGCCTCCGCCTCCAGGCAGCGGGACCTTAAGGTGGAGATTCAGGTGCCTCTCTTGCCCCCAGGCGGTCCTGGATTTCTCTGCCTTTGAGCGCCCTTGGCTCTCATTGGAAGAGGGCTCCCGGGAGAGCGAAGAGCTCTAAGACTTCACTCCGAACTCTGGAACAAGTGTGATCGTCGTACCAGGTCTAGTCGGGCTTCCGCACCTGCCCACCATGTTCTCAGAGGCTCCCACCCGCATCAGGCCTTCCGCGGGTACATCCAGCCCTCAGTCACTAACCACACAGGACGGAGATTCCTTGGAGTTGGTTGTTCTCCAGCCAGCGATTGTTCACTGTGTACCACCTCCTACCCCTACTCCACAGCTCCCCCAAATGCTCTCCTTTTTCACTCCTCCCGCCCCCATCTCTACACTTCTGATCTGGATGCAAACAGGATCTTAAGCCCAAGCCAAGAAGCAGCAGCTGAGGGCAGGTGACATCCACTGTGCTCTCTTCCAACAGCAGAGTTCAATGTGTTGGCCTGGAAGAAGAAGCCGCCTGATTTATTATAACCCACAAGTCTGGTTATTTCAGCAAGAAACTGGAGACTCTTCCCTTGCTACTGAAAGAACGAGGGGTAGACAGGAAGGAACCTATCATTCAATGAGAACCCAGTGTGCTGGAAACTTAGCAGAAATGATCTTACCTAATCCTCGCACCACCTTTAGGAGACAGACCTTATGATGCCCATTTTGCAGATGGGGAAACTGGGCCTCAGAAAACTAGGGAGCTTGCTCAGGATCTTGCAGCTAGTACATAACACAGCTGAGCTTCAAAAGCAGATTACACATGTGACAAAATTGTACCAAACCAAATACACAAATGAATATATGTAAAATTAGTGACGTTTGAATAAGGCCCTAGGATCGTATTAATGTCAGTTTCCTGGTTGTGACATTGTGCTACAGTTATTCAAAATATTACCATTGGGTAGAAGGTCTATAAGGGATTACTCCCTACTATTTCTTAAAACTTAATGTGAATCTATAGTTGTGCCCTAACTAAAAGTTTGTTATTTAAAACATCTGTCTTGGGGCGCCTGGGTGGCTCAGTCACTTCGCCTCAGGTCATGATCTCACCGTTGGTGGGTTTGAGCCCCACATCAAGCCCTGTGACAGCTCAGAGTCTGGAGCCTACTTCCGATTCTGCGTCTCCCTCTCTCTCTCTGCCCTTCCCCTGCTCGTGCTCTGTCTCTCTCAAAGATAAACATAAAAAAAAAAATTAAAACAGTTCTGCCTTATTTTAGAACCAAACTCTCTTCTTGCAATACATACTCCTCCCCCCACCCTTTTTTAATACTCCTGTGCATGCGCGCGCGCGCGCGCGCACACACACACACACACACACACACTCATGTACTTTGTGCACAGTTGTTCTACCCAGTAATAATTATACAACACACACTGTTAAGTGAATAACTAACTTGTTGCCAGAATACTTACATAGGTGTCATCTCATAAATAAGAGAAGAATGTTCATCGGGGAGGAAAACAGCCAACAGTCTTAGAAGGTAAGAATGAAGAGATGTTTCTTTGTTTCACCTAATCTCTGCCATGGGAGCCTCATCCTACTGGTTCTCTCTCCAAGCATCCCTTTTACCTGCAAGAATCCTTAAGGTGTGGATTGTTCTTGGGAGCCACGGGTTGTGGGAGGTGGCATTCATTCCCTGTAGAGAAAGGTCAGAATTGGTGGGGGTTGTGTGATTTGAGAAACACAAGATACTCTTTCTTAAGAGGAGTGAATGGGGCGGAGTTAATGCTGGGTCTAGAAACTTGAAATCACATTCAACCCCCAGCCTTGCTACAAAGGAGGGGAGAGTGTGAGGCATGAGGACTTGGTGGTGTAGCTTTGCAAGGATAATCCTACCAAGGCAGATAATTTAATACCATGTGCCTGAAATTTAGGCTACACAGAGTGGAAGGTTAATCTTGGTATGTCTAGAGTCACTGCAAAAAAGCAAGGACTTACCTTAGAACCTATCACTTAAGCTTTTCTCTGTTAAAAAAAAATGAAGATAACAGCAGAAATAGTAGCTAAGCTCCAATTCTACATTATATACAATAGGAGGAAAAATGAAAAGAAGCATAAACATTTACCCAGCCTTTACAGACCACATTTCACTTTTATCTGTTGTAATTTATTTGCCTCTGATATTAACTCCCACAAAGAGCCTTGTTCAGGGACTCAGCATCCTTAAAGTATTTGTAGATGATGTTTTTGAGTGGCTTTTCTGCAATGTTTTTCAGTATTGGACTGGCTTTCTCAAGTAAAAGCTCTAAAAAGTTAACCAAGGAATAATCTAGGGAAGAGAAATTTATTCTGGTTTCTTCTTGAAGTAACTTTGTAATGAATAGTTTAGAGTCATAACAACAAAAATGAATTTTTTTTTAAAGGAGAAAGAAAGTTCAGGCTTTGTAAATTTCCCAGGATCTACAGAGTTATCTTTTTTTTTTTTTTCCTGGGCAAGGAAAGCAGATAGTTGTAACCAAACTCATTCTACCCTAACCCAAAGTCACAGTTGGATGTAAGTTATTTCTTACAGCACAGTAAACAAACAACAACAACAAAAACAAAACACCTCTTCTGTCATGCTGTAGAACTCCCAGCTGCTTCTACACTTGTTTAATAAATGTTTTTCTTATTTCTCTGACCATGTGAAGTAATCAGAACAAACTTCAGGTAAGTTGCAAAGCTGCCTCAGGTGGGGCTCAATGGTTAAAGCAGATTATCAGTTATAGTCCAAGCCAGGGACTGTCTGGATGAAAGGGACATCATATTGTCCCCCAAGAACCCAAGGAAATGGGTGGTGAAAGGAGGAAAGGGGAAATTTGGATTCCATCCAGATATGTAAGTCAAAGGCTAGGAGAAAGTGTCAGTGACAAAATGGTGGTGGTTAAGAACCCAGGAAGATGCCAAGGAAGTAGACAGAAGGCAAACTGATTTACACTCTTGCCCCTGAAGAACCCTCATTTGGAACTATGATTCTCCATTTTCCTTCATGAAATATATGAAAGAAGAGGATACATGGATTCAGCACAATCTATTATTATTATTATTATTATTATTATTATTATTATTATTTTAAAGTAAGCACTAAGTACATAGTCTGTGCCTACTACTGTCCTGGAAATCATGAGATATTCAAAAGAACCATCAACTTTGGCTCTTGCCCTTGAATGTATTATTCTCCCTTGGGGAAGTAAAAACATGCACAGGAGAGAGTAAGGGAATAATGTGAGGTAGCACAGGATTCTAATCTAATCCAGTTGGGAGGATATGCATATATAGCATGAGAGGGAAGAGAGGGATGAGTCCCCTAAAACATGGCTTCTGTCAGGTCATTCAGCCCACAGGCTTCCGTGTCGGGTCCTAGATATCCTTCCTGGTAGGCAAGCATCCACTTGATCCCTGCAGATGAATGGATGCTCAGTGTCTCCAGACAACCTACCCTCCTTCTACTCAACTCTTACGTGCTCCCCTGTGAATCTCCTCTGTGCTGCTTTTTCTGCCCAGCTCATCAGTCCTAAGGAATATTGGATACCCTGTCTCTGTCTACTGTCTTTTAGTTGACCCAATGGGTAATGCACAGTAGGAAGTGATTATTGGACATGTGCTTTCTGGAGCTCATGAATTGAGCATTTAGGTGCTTTCCAAACACTTGGTTGGTGCTCACATGGAGAAGAGATGTTGCCTGTGTGCGTGGCAGGGGAGGAGGTCTGCTCTTCACTTTGGCAAGGATCGATTTTCATGTATCTGGAATCTGGAAATTTTCTACTGTTCTAAAAACTATAAGTGCCCGAAGATTGACACTCCAGCTTCACTCAAAGTAAAAGAAAATGAAATTCTAGTTTAAGAAACATTGGTGTTCTTTCCCCTCACAATCTCTTGAACACTTAGCCAACATGACATGACATTTTTACCTTTTAAAAAAAAAAGACTTTTGAGTGGAAAATGATGTAATATTTTTTCCCAAGCAAGACTCCTTTAAGTTTTCTAGACTTTGATGTGCGTCCAAAAGACATTGGAATCCAGAAACCTATATTTTAAAATAGGTAACAACTGAATAAATTTTAAAAATAGTTCTGTCCAATAGAAATGTAATACAAGTATTTGTCGCATGTAGAACTCCAAAATTTCTAGTAACCACATTTTAAACAGTGAGTTAGTAGAATTGTTATGTTTTATTTAACCGAATACAAACTCAAATTTTTATCATTTCAACATGTAACCAATATCAAAACTTTTTAATGATATAACTTACATTAGTGTTTGTACTAAGTCTTTGAATGTGGTGAGTATTTGGTACTGACAGCACGTCTCAATTCAGACTAGTCACATGTGGCCAATGGCTACTCTACCCACAGTGCAATGTTAGAACAAGAAGAAGATTCTAAGTGCATCTAACCCTGTTCCTTCTCACAAGGAATTTGTGACGGTTGGGGGCCTTGCTCAAGTTGATCTCACAGTGATTGCATCAGACTCCTCAGGCTGGACTGACCACCCTTGGCACTTGCCTTCCGGGAGGGTTTGTGGATGATGCAAACAGCTGCCTCAAAATGAAACAGTGTTTCAAGATATTTTTAAAAATCACCACCCTCCAAAACCTTGGGACCCCCCCCCCCGAATAGTATCTTAAAAATAAAATTTCAGAAGACAATAGTCTAAAATATACAATTTTAATACATAGCAACGACAGCCCTGCAGGCCATTTGTTAATGCGTGCTCCCACAGCCTACCTGTTTTGTGCTCGGCTGTATCTGGGTCTGCAGGGCACCCAGCAGAGAGAGGGCTAGGGGCCCAGAAGGCCTGTCCTCTGGGGATTGTGCAAGTGGTTCTTCTCCATCATCTATCCTTCATCTCACCCGCATCAGCTCCTGCCAGCATCCCAAAGACCAGGATGTTGCTTTCCAATGATTAATCTCAAAGACCTTGAAGTAACTGAGTGACCGTTTGTCTTCAATCTGCACATTTTGCAGTGCTTTCTATTCTGAACCAGGCCAAAGCTGTTTGGGAGGAAAATGACCATTTCAGAAACAGAAAATGAGACCAATAGTAAGAGAGCATGGCTTCCAATAATGAGGACATTTGGGAGTAAACTGAATAATGAGGGCATTTTTGGATTGATGAGAAAGAAATTAAATATGCTATTACCAAAAAAAAAAAAAAAACCCACATAAATCTTTGATTTGTATTTTGTTTTCAATTGGGAGAAAATGGGTATGGGATATAAATTAGAGATCTTTCCACCAAAGTATGGAGGTGTAAGTGATGATAAATTTTATGGTAGTGAGCTCTGTGAGTCATATTTCAGTCTACAAAAAAAAAATGCCATCTTAGAGGGTGGGGTTTTGGGGGCTACTGTGGCGATGCCCAGATACCACACCCAGACTTTAATAAAAAATAAAAATTTTTTTTTTCCGATTCTTGATTATTGATAGGCTGTGTGATGAGCAACATCATCAGCCTATCTCTGGGTCCCTAAACTATAAATAAGATAAAAGAAAACAAGATCAACAGAGAGAAAAATTAGGGACTATTTTATGTGTGTCTGTTCTGAGGTCAAAGTCAAGAACAGGCAAATTCTGTGTGTGTGTGTGTGAGAGAGAGAGAGAGAGAGAGAGAGAGAGAGAGAGAGAGAGAAACGGGGGGAATAGGTAGGTGGGTGTGCTGGAGAGCCTCTGTTTGTCCCTCTGGATGCCCTCTCTGCCCTTCTCCACCTGCCCCATGACCTAAGAGGCCAGCTTAGATGTACTGCATGAAGGGGCCCTTTTGCACCTGGCTTCCCATTAGGTTCAGCTCATGGGGTCACTGGCAAAAGATTGGAGGAATGAAGGGGCATGAGATTGGGGTATTTATTTGGCCAGCTTACCCCCTATAGGGTCTCTGTAGGCTGGTTGCATCCCTTAAGACCACAGCTTCTGCCACAGCCCTCTCCACACAACTCTGTCACCAGTTCTCCAGATATCAGTGGGGCTTGGTAACAGCAGGCAGGCCCTATCCTTGTTTCTCTGCACCCAGCCCACCCCTTTGTAATTAGTCTCCTTATTAACTATTCTCCAAATACCTAATTTGAGTTCATCCACTATTTCCTTCTGAGCTTTTGATTGATAAAATAGATATGCATGCATTCCTTGCTCCAGAAACAGTGACTCTTCTATCTATCAGCAGGAAATAACTTTTTTTTTTTTTATATCAGCATGAAATGAAATTTTCCACTACACAGAATTTTAAGTCATTTCCCCAGAAGCAGACCCTGGGATGAGGATTTGTGTGCAAGAATGTTGTTAAAGAGATACTCCTTCATTCTGTAAGGGAGCGTGGTGGAGAAAAGAAGGAGGGGAGGGAGGAGCAAGACAGGGAAAGCAGAAGAGAAGGAGCCAGCCGAGGGCCCACTTTCAGGCAAAGCCCCAACCTCATCAGGATCTGGAGAGGAGCTCTGGAGCATAAACCACATTCCAGAATATGCCCTGACTTGACTCAGGGGAGCTAGGCTTTCGATCTCCTGCACCAGTAAGTCAGGGACCCAAGAGCATCCAGGCAGAGCACCATCAATTTATAGTTCATATATATTCCCTGTAATTTGAAAATAGGGAGGGGAGACATGCTGATTATTAATTGGTTTAATAATGGAGTTATTAGTAGAGAGGAATGAGAACCACCTCCAGATACCAAAAAAGCTCACCGCAGATGCTAAGGGGACACATCCTTTGAAAAACACCACGTGGAATCATATAGTATTTGCTTTCAATGGACTCAGTTAGTATACTTTAATATTAGTAAAAATCAAGACATGGCTTAATCTTCTTAAAAAGCAGAGGCATCTTTGTGGGAATCTTAACTACCAGATGCAGGTAGTAAGTAGTTCTATGGTATGTGTGCATGTGGTTGGAGGGACGGGGGGGGGGGTGGTGTATCAACACTTGCCATTTCCCTCTGAAGTTCCTAACACTTGGAAATTTGTCATAGCATCTTTTCTCATCTGCAGTTCAAACAGTTTTTTCCAGCAGGAATTCAGCTGAAGTTGAAATCACCATCTGGCATCTCATATTGAACCCGGTTCTTCGCGTGCCAAGAACTTCTTCTTTTGGCAATGACGTTGACTGTGATCTTTCGAAAATGTTTCCTGGGTTGGCAGTCTTGACTGAACAGAGCAAGAAGCCTGTCTTGGAATTTAGGAAGAGATATGCTGAGCAAATCGTGGCCCTGGGAAGAAAAGCGCAAGGTGAAAAGTTGAGCCTTAGGTTGTGAAACCCCAGAAGCCCTCTCTATCTTTTATTATTGAGCTAAAACCAGCTCAGGTGGAAAAAAAAAAATCTCAGCAATGTGATCAGTAGCAGCACAAATGTTGCACAAGACCTACAAAAGGAGTATTCAATTTGAAGCAATAAATGCTATTTAAGACTTTCCAGGTGGGAGGTAACATCCTCTCTGCTGTAGGGAAATAGGACAACTAAGAAGGGGTCTCTTCTCCCAAGGAATTCACTATCTTGGGGCTGGAGATGCATGGGTAGAAACAAGATAGACGATAGTGAGAAGGATAGCTGACGTGGTCTGCCTCTTCTCAAATGCCTGGGGACCCCTTTTTACCATTCCTGTTCTCCTCCATCAGCTCTGACATACTTTTGCTTCCAATGGCTTGCACCTATGGCTCTCCTGGAGTGGCTGCCCTTGAGTACTGTGTACACAGTCAGAGAGTGGGATGTGCTTGGGGGCTGAGTTGCTTACCAGTGACTGTTCGGTGTAGGGATAAAAAGGCTCAGCCGCCTGGCCTTACAGCAGGACACAAACTAATGTCCAGGCTTTCCCTACCGAACGAGGTGGAGAACTCCCTCTGGGACTCTGTCTAAAGGCACTCTTGCTCAGACCCTTTCTCTTGTCCGTCTCCTTCTCTCCTTCATTTGCCAATCCCTTCAGGGAACATTTCCTTAATAAAACACTTCGCTACAAATCCTCCTCTCAGGATCTGCTTCTGGGAGCCTGACCTAAGTAAGACAGGCACTTCATAAGAACAGAAACAAAAGGCTAAGACAGCAAAGAAGGACTGACTAATTCTGCCTGGAGATCAAGGACCTTTCCATAAAAGGAGGGTATTTGAGCCAGGCCTTGAAGGGTAATTTGGATTTTGCCAGGCAGACAGAACTGAGAAGTGTCACAATAAACCTGAGGAAAGTACATATATGGGCAGCACTAAGGAAGGGAATGGTGGAGACTGATGGGAGATGGGACTGCTAAGGTAGGCTGGGAGTTAAGTGAAGATGAGCCTTGAATGTTATTAAAGAGTTTGGACTTTAAAAAAATTGGCCATAGTGAGTGACTGTAAGTTTCTGAGCAGAGAAGAAACATGATACATCCTTTCACAAAATAATTGAATGGAGGGGCGTGTGGGTGGCTCAGTCGGTTAAGCATCTGATTCTTGATTTCAGCTCAGGTCATGATTTCACAGGCATGGGATGGAGCCCCATGTTGGGCTCCACCCTGAGTGTGGGTCTTTCTTGGAATTTTCTCTCTCCCTTTTTCTCTGATCCTCCCCCCCTCCCAGACAAAGATGGATAAGTAAACCTTTAAAAATTAAAAAAAATTAAGAAAATAATCGGATGGAAATATAAAGAATGGGTTGGTGGGGTAAGAGATAAACAATGGAAGCCAGCTGGGAGGGGTGATTGTTACAGCAATATTCTGGGTGAGGATGATGAGGGACTGACTTAGGGCACGAGAATGAAAAGGGAAGGATGGATCTAGAGGTTGAATGAATGGACTTATCAACTAACTGGATGTAAGTGGGAAAACAGCCATCAAAAGTGACTAAATATTGGTTTCGATCAAAGAGTGAATGATGGCGCCATCATCCAAGAGACAGAATCTAGGAGGAGAGAAAGACAGATGGGGGAGAGAAATCAGTGACTTCATTTTTAGATATGTTGAAATTGGATGAGACATCTGAAAAAAATAATCCCTAATAACTCAAAGAAATCTGAAAATTCCTCTGGGAATAAAGAACAAAGAAAAAAAGGGATATTAGGAACAACTGGAATATTCAGAGACTCATGAAGTTCCAGTTCAAGGTTAGACCAAAGAAACACTTTTTAAAATTAGCTCTCTGGATAGGAATCAAAACAACAAAATCAACCATAGAAACCTGGACACCTTTTAAGAATAAGAACACTTAATATTCACTGGTCACAACAGTGTAATGACTCAGTTTCACCAGGATTTTATTTTGCTGATTAAAACTAGAGTGGGGTGGATATGGCTTAAAGATTAGATCTGATGTATTACATCTGTGTGACTGTTCGGAGCAATCTATGAAAGCAGAGCCCTATGATGCTGGCGCTGAAATACAAGCAGAAAAATAGCACTTTCAGTGTTTGTGACCTATTATCTGTCTACCACTCCTTAAGAAACAGTTCCATCAACTGACAGTGGCTATTTCCTTAATTATTGCTGTTCGTTTGTTTATGGGCTTGAGCTGACTTAAAAAGAAATAAATCAATATGTCCATGAATTGTATTGACATTGCAAGCAGCACAATTAGAAGAAAAAGCACAAGTCCAAATTCTTAAAAAGTGTTTCAGTTTGAGGAACGATCTACTTTACATGATTATAAGGTTGTTTCAAAAGCCAAATGAATTATAGGGCAACATAGAGGCTTCCTGACTCTGTAACAATGTTACATTTGGAGTCTTCTCTTTGAGAACCCCTGATACTTAGAGAAACTAACACATCCTTCTATCTTAGGTAAGATGTTAAAGATTTTAGAAACCAAGTTACCCATAGAAATGATACAGAAAGAGAAGGTAGAAAATCCAAAGAACAAGAGAAAGAGGACATTAATTGTATTTATTAATTCATTCTCTTTTCCTCCCTCCTTCCCTCTTTTCCTTCCTCCCTTGGTTCCTCCAGTCCTCCCTCCCCCACTTCCAGAAACACGTGAGGACCTACTATGTGCCAGGAAGTGTACTAGGAGTTAGAGACACCATACTGAGCAAGGGAGACATACATGATCTCTACCTTTGGGGATTTTAAGTCTATCATACTTGATTTCAGATTCTGCATGTAAATAAAAGATGGTATCTCCTGTCCTTCACTCCTGTTCTCTCTCACCTTCATATTGTATATTAAAGCATATTAGGTTCACCCATTTTGGGGTTAGATGTACTACCCATAACCCAACTAGGCTACCTTCATTTGGAATTCAACTCTCTCATTTAACAGTTGCGTACATTTGGTCAAATGACTTAACCTTTTGACCCTCCAACTCTTCATGTATTAAGCGTAGATAACAGCACAATAGCACATGTCTCATGGGACAGTTGTATTACAAGGAGATCAATTCATTTAGAACTTAGAATGGGCAGTGGACAATCAATTGATGTTATCCATTATTATTTTTAGCCTGCACAGGAATAAATAGATGAAACAGGTCACATCTTTTAAAGAGCTTATAGTCTTGCCGTTGGAGACAGACAGGTACACAGATAAAGGCAATAAAGTGTGGTGGGTGAACAATGAAGGAAGAGTGTTTAGGCTGCAGTTGGTCACAAAGAAAGAGAGTGGTGAATGCTTTTGGTCAACTCTTTTGAGATGGATGTAATATCAATCCAAAGTAGTTTCTTATTTCCCTGACCCTTAGGTAAATGATCCTTCCCTATTAGATGCCTGTTTTGCTTGCTTTATTTGCCCATACTTATTCAACTGTGAATAATTATGTGAGCACAAATGCAGGCTTTTCATGAAGGGAATTGTGGTCCCTCTTTATTTACACTCTGAATAAAGGAGCTTCCCAGAATTGGTAAAACTGGGTTACACTCTCCTGATTTCTTGTGTTCAGTGGCATATTTCTTAGAGAAATCAGAGTTGTTTTTGCAAAGGGAAAATAGGTCTTGTCTTATCCCAGGAAGCAGTCTTATCCCTCTTGCCCATGACTGGCTAAGTCATTTTCATGTGATTCAATTCTGGCCAATAGGACCCGAGGTAAGTTGGAGGTTCTGGGAAAGATACTCTCAATTCTATGAGACTAATGAAAGCAGACACTACTATTCTTCCCTGGATGTTGTTTGTCTGCATGTGATGGCTGATGCTGCTGTAGCCATCTTGTGACCATGAAGACAGATACTGCTGGTACCCTAAGGATGGAAAAGTAAAAAGATGGTGATGAAGTGGGTCCCTGAAGACATCCTTGAGCTGCTGGATTTACCAACATGAGCCTTGATCCATCTCCAAATGTCTTGTTGTGTGAGAAAATAACCCCTTAATTATTTAAGCTGCTTTTACATGGGTTTTCTGTTAACTTTCAGTTAACTCCTTGTGGTAACTTGTCCCCAAGTATTTGGGGGCACTTCCCTGTGGGAAAATTATACACGTCCTCCCTTTTAAGCCCAGGCATGGCCATATGACTTGCTTTGACAAAAGAAATATGAGATAATAGTTAGATGAGTTAAAGAAGAAATGATGGATCATTTCCAGGTAGAAGCTTCAAGAGCCAACATATATTTTGTCACGCCCCTTCTCTCTTGCTCCTATGATCGGGGAGGCATGTTAAGATGTAGCCCCTGCCAATCTGGTTCCTCAATCACTGCAACAAGTTAGACCTTACCCCTTCTATGGGGGACTGTAGCACGAACAAGAAGTAACCTTCATATGAAGCTGCTGAAGTTTGTTGTTACCACAGGCGACTCTAGTTTATTCCAACTGGGAAGCATCCTACAAGCTGTAGGGAAATGACAAAGTAAAGGCAGAACCTCAACTTGAGGAGTTCCTGCAAAACACAGCCTCCCCTCTGTCAACCGCACACCCTTCCTGTTCAGAGAGATGAGCCTCAGAACAGTAAGTAATTTAATCCAGAGAATGCTTGAAAAATGTCTTCACTTCAAATGCATTATTCAGAGTAAATGAATCACAACTTATTAAGTGTCTCTTCTGTAGCTCTGAGTTCACCTCATCACTTTGCCCCCCCCCCCCCCAAAAGCTTTCCTGGAATGACCTCACCATGCACTCTCCTGACCACATCCACCTTCACGCCTTCCCAGTGGGCTTGGTAGTGGCTCAACAATCACATAGCTGAATTTTCGATGCACAAATACGGAACGAGGGTGACGCCTCTGTGGGTAGGACCGGAGGATGATGAGGGTGACAGCTAACACTTATGTAGCACCGGTTGTACACCAGGTACCATTCTAAGCTCAATTTAGTAACTCCCTTAATCCTCACCTTACGAGGCAGTATTCTTACCATCTCTTCTTTACAGATGAAGAACCAGAGGCCCAGAGGGAGAGAGAGAGAGGTTAAGCGTCCTGTCCAGAGTCACACAACTAAAACGTGGTGACACTCAGATTCAATTTCAGGCAATCTGGCTCCAGAGTTGTATTCTGTGATGCTTAGCCAAGCCCTCGGCACGGCCATTCTTGGAGAAACAAGAGGTTAAGAAGTCCAGGTGGGCTTCGCCTGACTGAAAACCCAGCTGGGTTTTGTCTCACAATTTGCAAAGCACATCTAGGTCCTGGTTTTCCCAACTGTAACACGGCAACGCTTAGTGTTGCACCCTGTGTGAAGGAAGCGAGGCCCGGTGAAGACCCCAACATTGAGCTGGGCCTTGGTAATGTTATAGCGGCTGCTGTGGCTTGTAGGACAGGCCCCACAGGGGCAGAAGTCTGGGGCACAGGAAAAGTCCTGCACAAATATGAAATGACCGTTCAGGGATTTCTCTAGACGTCTGGGGTGGAAGGGCTAGGAAAGGCTGTCTGGAGAGTCGTTTTTGGGGATCCACAGACAGAAAAGCAGCTGAAGTGCACTTGGCTCGTTGGAAGGAAGGCTAGATAAGCCTTTCGGACTGGCTGATTTAAGAGGGTTGAGATGTATTTTCGCGAGGCCTGCAAGGTATGCACGAATATGCATATGGGTAAGGAGCTGAGGGCCAGGAGCTTGGCCCTAAAATTGTTTCAGAAAAGCTTTGGAGATGTAGCTCAAGAGGGAGAACTTAGTTTGGGAAAATGCAGTTAACTAACAGCAAGTCCTTTAGTTGGTATCTCTAAAATCTGTTTCGAATTTGAACACGTGTCACCATCCCCGTTATGGCCACTGCCAGCGCCCTACTTGGGGCCACCGCTGTGACTCTCCTAGACTTCTGCATCAGTCCGGCTGGTCTCCCTGCCTCCATTCTTGCCCGTGTCTCATCAGCCTGCCTCGCAGGAGACAGAGTGATCTTTAAAAGATCTTTAAGGGGTTCCTGGGTGGCTCAGTCGGTTAAGCGGCCGACTTCGGCTCAGGTCATGATCTCGCAGTCCGTGAGTTCGAGCCCCGCGTCGGGCTCTGTGCTGACAGCTCAGAGCCTGGAGCCTGTTTCGGATTCTGTGTCTCCTTCTCTCTGACGCTCCCCCCTTCATGCTCTGTCTCTCTCTGTCTCAAAAATAAATAAACGTTAAAAAAAATTTTTTTTAAAGATCTTTAAAAGAAGGCAGGCAGTGCCTATGGCTGCTTCTCACTCTTAGAATAAACTCCAAACCTTTACTATGAAAGCTGTCTCTGCCTAACACCTGGCTCTCATGTCTCACCACTCTCCGCTGCCACCCCCTATCCTCCCCCCAGTCCAGCCCCCCTGGCCACACTTCTGTTATATGAACACACCCAACTCCTTCCTGCATTTTCCACTCCCCAACTGTCCCCATAGCTGACTCCTTCCCCTCCAGTGATCCAAACATCACTGTCTCCAAATTCTCGACCACCCTGTTCCCTGCCCTTCACCCTCTCTGGGCACCCTCTACACCATTAGCAGACATCCTTCCTTCACAGCACTCACTGCTATGTGAAATGGCCTTGTTCATCCATTTGCTTATTTACAGGGCTCTTGCTAGAATCCCCTTTTAGCCTGACTGGGCCTTCTTCACCTCGGTCGTGGCTATATCCCCAGTGCCCAGATAAGTTCCCAGTGCACAGAGGCTCTGCAAACTAAGAAATAAGTAATTTACATTTAATTTCCATCAGTAATACATTTCAAACAATTTACTTATATGCCCCAGTGGAAAAAAGGAGAAAAATTAATTTTATTTACATTTAATTGAATATTGATGTATTCTTTGGATGATGGCAATGAAAGAGTGATATTTGAACACAATTTTGTGAGGTTAATCTACTCCTAGAAAATCTGAAATTACATACGGTTCAGGATAAATTAGTTTTACGTAGGAAATTAAAAACCCGGGAGCCAGGACTGATAGGTTCCTACATTTAAATATCATGAAAATATAAAATTTAAATACTATGAAACTATAAAATACACTACAATGTTTCCATAATAAAGAGCTTATAGTTAGTAAGGGCAAGCGATACAATGTCAAAATCCAGCTAGCCATATGTTCTTTACTAATTTCTCTGAATAATATAATGGCACTGTATGTTTATTTGGAGTCCGTTGAAATATTAACATTATCCCTATCTGGGTATTAATTACATTTGCCTCTTTGCCTTATTTTGGGATTAGATTCAGCATTTTTATATTTAAGGATTCTGAAAGGAAAGCTCTCCGGTCTATAATCACCTTCAATCCCCATATGACTAAATTTGGTCATATTTGCTGATTGTATAGACAGCCCTTTCTGAGAAGTAAATATTAATGCTGACTGGTTTTGAAAAAAGAACCCTTGGGGCACCTCTTCTTTCCATTTTTAGACACCTCTGTTAGCTGCTTTAACACTTGAGTAGAAGTGTTTTTAAAGGAGCCTGTGAAGATTTGGAAAAGATTTTATTTTTAATACCCCAGATTGCATTCTCTGCATTTGGTTGGTTTTGTTACATGTGTTCCATCTGTCTTGGAGATATGGGAAACTCAGTCGGGAAAAAATGGAAAGGGCAAAATTGTTTCCCTAGCTCCATAAAATATCTAAAAATTACTTCACATGTAAGATCTGGTGCCTGGATTCCTTCACTTCTAACTTCTACACTGCCCAGGGGTAGTCTTCCCTCCAAAGCAGGAAGAGGAGAAATTGCTTAGTTACTCCCCGGTTGGAAAGTGTGCAAGGTAGAAAGCCTTTGAGAAAGGCTTCACCTTGAAAGATTTCTGCAAGACTTATCATTTCAGGTGAATTTAATTAACACACAGATTGGTTCTTTTATTACGAATATCCTTAAAGTAAAATCCGCTTCCTTGCTGGCTACAGTTGATCTGGGATTTCTGGTATCTTTTTTTAATGGTTCAGGCTAAGTACTGGATGAAAAACAAATCTGAAAAACCAAACAAAACATTTCTTTGCCTATCCCCAGCTGCACCTGACAGTGAAAGAAGTTGAAATCTTACTCCTCGCTGGACATTACATCCAATTTCAAGCTTCTATTATCTTTTTTGAAAGCCACTGCAGAATACCTCGTAACGTTTTTTGTTTTCTCTGAAAATCAGCTGGTTATGTTTGTAATTGGAGCACTTCATGGACAGGGTGTCTGGGAGATATAAGTGCTTTCATTCCACCCTACCATTGTTTAGCATTATTTTTATGCATTTATTGAGGGTCTTGGAGCCTCAGAGAGTGAATTTCTGGAGACTACAGCTCTTTTATGATGTGTGTAGCACTGAATAAAATATGGATTCTTCAGGATCATCTTAAAAGGGACTTTAATCTGGAGCTATGAAGTAACATTTCCTTGGTGTGTGTTTATCTGCAAATGAACAGAATCAAACATTCGACAAACAAAACGGCCCCAACTTTATGAGCCTACTGAATTGAGATGGTGTCAGTGTCCTAGTTTGTTAATTTGGGGAGGATCATGGTTTTAGCATTATTATAAATAAAGTCTATTAAATCAAACATGGACTCTTGGAGATGGTGATATTGAAATATCGTGTGATATTTCAATATTTTGCAGTTAGAACTCTGAGAATATAATAAATGACATTACATATCTAGGACAAAAATACCATGTGATGTTTAAAGCTGGCTTTACAGTTTATAAATCATGGCTCACGCTGATAAATGTATACATTAGTGCCTAATGCACATAATATCAAGTTTTCTCATATCCTATGACTCATCTGAGAGCTCTGTTCACTTGTCATCAAGATCCCCTCTCTTGTTACAAGACCTTGTCATCACCTAGAACTTCTTCACTTCTGACATCTTGAACTTTGAAATTCCACTGACCTCAACCCTATATCCTTCCTCTCTTACACCCCCATCCCACCCATCTTCAGTCTTATCAAGGTGTCTGGCCTTCACTCGCCCCAGAAAATGGCCCCCAGCCCTCTTGGTCTTAAGGACATTCTCCTCATCTGACACAATCTCCTTACTCCTTTGACTTAATGGCACAGCCAGTCAACAAATCCTCAACTTTGGATCCATTCATCTGTTTTCTTCGGCCCATGAGTATTGCTGGAGAAAATCACATACCACGCTAACACACATTTTGAATTTCAAACCTCAACTAGGCATTCAAGACCATCTAAAATTCAAGACCAATTATATGGTTCCCCATAAAATCAAACTGACCTGGATAACACGAACCACAGATACTTAGAACAGAGCGGTATTGAATAATACATATAGGGGCGCCTGGGTGGCGCAGTCGGTTAAGTGTCCGACTTCAGCCAGGTCACGATCTCGCGGTCTGTGAGTTCGAGCCCCGCATCAGGCTCTGGGCTGATGGCTCAGAGCCTGGAGCCTGTTTCCGATTCTGTGTCTCCCTCTCTCTCTGCCCCTCCCCCGTTCATGCTCTGTCTCTCTCTGTCCCAAAAATAAATAAACGTTGAATAATACATATAATAATACATATAATAATATATATTATACATATATTATACATATATATACACATATACATATATAATACATATAATAATATATATTATACATATATGTATTATACATATATATGTGTATACATATACATATATATAAAATACATATAATAATATATACTCAAAATATACAATAAAGTTCATTTTCTCCCCTGGATTTCATATGGGCCAAACTTTCCCCATTTTGGGGGTGTGTATTTCCTCTTATTTTGACTTTCTTTTGCAGTTTTCCAATAGATTACTTATTAAAGAGTTTAGAAGAATATTAAAGAATTTAAGATAAGCAGAAGATATTTACTACATAGCTATTGCATGCTGAGCTCTGCTCCAGGTACAGGGATACAGTGGTGAGCCAAATAAACAGCTTTGCTCTCAGAGAGTCTGTATTTTAGTAGCAAGGGACAGAAAATAGACAAATAAGTAAAATATATACTGTCAGAAAGTTACAGGTGGGACAGCAGCATCCTGGGGAGGCAGTGGAAACTGTGGGCTACGCTGTGGAGAGACTACTTCCTGTACTAGGTGCGAGGGTGAGCCAGACTGCCTGGGTTCCAATCCCCGGTCCGGCACTTACTACCTGCGTGACCCCGGGCAAGTGGCCTAGCCTCTCTATGACTCAGTTTCCCTATCTGTAAAAATGAAGATTTTCTTCGTACCAACATCTTAGGGTCGTTAAGAGGATTAAATGACTGAAGACACAAGTAACATTTCCCCTGGTAGGCACTACATGATCGTCAACTTCGTAGCTGTCTCAACCACTGCTACAACCCCTCACCTTCACGGCCTGTGCCCTCTAGGCAGGGACAGAATCACCCTGAAGGGAAAGCTCCTTGCTTGGAGAAGTCACTCGCTTCTGGGGCCCTGGGAGAGGCCTCAGCAATGTGCTTGCAAAAGTAAGATACATATATTTTGAAAGTAAGACATCTTAATTGCACTGTTTAAGATGCCACTGTGTTAGGTAGCATCGAGGTGGCTGTGGGCACTTGGGGATTCAGCTAAGAGGAAGTTAGGTGGGAGACACATTTGGTCTGAGTTTAGTGGGGAAACATCTATGTGTTTTGGTCACTTCTACATCAGTTTCAGTGAGAGCTTATTGTCCTGGTGTGGAGGCAGCTCCCAGGCTTCCTTCCACCCACTGTGCCATAGGTGCGAGGCAGGATATGGTAGAGGGAATGTGTCCCGTGCAGGCTGACAACAGAGGTGGGGATGGGAGGGGGAAACGGGGTGCAAAACGTATAGAGCCAGAAGTTGGTCTGTGGAAGTTGGTGTAATCCTCTGATATATAAAACCGTAAGTAGAGGATCCGCTTCTCAGGACACAGTCAAAACAGAAGTCCTTTCCTGTCAGGAACACACTAGATAAGGCAACATTAATAATTACCAGTGCATTTTGATGGACTGAATGTTGGTGCCCCCACCACTTATACACTGAAGCCCTAACACCCACTGTGATAGTAACTGGAGATGGGACTTGGGGGAGGTAATCCAGGTTAGATGAGGTCGTGAGGATGGGGTCCTTATGATGGAGTTAGTGGTCTTAAAAGAAGAGACCAGAGGGGCGCCTGCGTGGCTCAGTCGGTTGAGCATCCGACTTCGGCTCAGGTCATGATCTCGCGATTTGTGAGTTCGAGCCCCACGTCGAGCCCCACATCAAGCCCCACATCGGGCTCTGTGCTGACAGCTCAGAGCCTGGAGCCTGCTTCGGATTCTGTCTGCTTCTCTCTCTGCCCCTTCCCCCCTCATGCTCTGTCTCTCAAAAATGAATAAATGTTAAAAAAAAAAAAAAAAGAAGAGACCAGAGAACTTGCTCTTTTTCTCTTTGCCATGTGAGCACAGAGAGAGAAGGTGGCCATCTGAAAGCCAGGACGAGGGCTCTCACTAGAGCCCGACCATACCGGCACCTGACTTCGGATTTCCCGGCTCTAAAACTGCGAGACATAAAATGTAAAATGTCTGTTGTTTAAGGCACCCAGTCTACGGTATTTTGTTCTAGCAGCCCAAGCTAAGACATACATTACACTTTCTTTTCTTTTTTTAATTGGGATCACATCAGAGAGAAATGTAATTCCTGCATTTGCAGAACAGAAGCCCACGGCAGAACTACAAACAGCAAGTGGTCTGTGTGTAAAGTCGCAAGCTTTACGCATTCCATCCATCAACGTTAAAAAAACAAATAGCCACAAACCACATCAGAAGAAATGCTGAGTTCTTCTTCTACTCTCCCTTTAGAAAATATTACAAAATTATTTTCATTTTAGAGATCGATCAGAGTTTATAGCCAAATACAATATATATATATACATATAGCCAAATATTATATATATAGCCAAATATAATATTTTATATATATATATATGGCCAAATATAATATTATAGAGGCATGCTGGTCAATGAATATAGATCATATTATTTTCTGAATTTTATAGTATTTGTGGCATGTATCTGGTTTAAAAATTTATAATGTGTGTGACTTCTTTTCCCATTCTAAATAATATCCACTGTGCCCCTAATTTTGGTTTTATAAATTTTGTGTTCTTTTTCTTAAATAGGCCCTCCTCCCAAACTACGTGTATTTCAGGCCCATAAGCCCTGATCCACTTCTACCAGGAGGAAAGAGGAAGGAGGGAATGCCTTGGCTTTTTTTCTCACCTCATCCAGACTGAGCTGTACATTCTGTTATACTTCATGTCTTCTGTCCTAGAAGAGGAACACATGGCCCTACTCATTCCCTTCGCTTACAGCCTCATGGCCCCTGGCCTCCTACCCTACTCACCCACCTCTTCCGGTAGCTCTTTACCTCCACTGATGTCCCCACCCTTGGATGGCCATGTCCTTGCTCTCCACTGGCTCTTCCCTGTCACACCACAAGTGTGCTCACAAGTGTCATTGATTCTGGCCACCCACTTCCTGCCCACCTCTGTTTTAGAAGTTTCCTGACTCCTTCCCTCTCTCTCCACTCTCTTTCAGTGTTTTGAAAGAGAAGCTGATATATACGGCCTTAGCTTCCTCATTCCTCACTACATTGAGATCTGGTTTCTTGAAGGTTTAGGGAACTGTCCCCTGGAGTCACCACTGCCAGACTCTGGACTCTGATTGGTTCGCCTCCTATGGGGCCTCTCCAGTTCCTCTGCAAATGTCGACACCACTCTGCCCTGCATCCTCTCTGTTGTGCCCCCCACCCCTCCCCAGGGCCAGTCCTTCTGGTTCACCTCCTTCCCCTCTGACCACTCCACTTGATCTTGGTCTCTTTGGTGGCCCCCTCTCCTCCCCGGGTTCCCTTAAGTACCTACCAATGTCCCCCAGGCTCCGGCTCAGACCACTTGTGTCCCCATCTCCATGCTATTCCTGGATATGCCTGTTCATTCGGTAACAAGTCTCTGCTCTTGACTCTGCAGCGAGATTTCTATTCCCATGGTTGCTCCTGAACTTTGTAGCCACATTTCCAACTTTCTGCTGGAAAGATCCATCTTCATAAATGAAGACCCTCCTCCTCCTCTCCAAACCTCTCCTCCCTCCGTGTTGTCCATGGTGAAAGGTGTCACCATCAATCACCCAGGTGTTCTTAGAGCCTCTTTCTTTTCCTCCCCCCCCCCACTCCCCATCTCCAATCATTAACAAGCATTACTTATTTTATCTTTAAGCCAGATGTTCTTTTTTTTATTGAATCACTAGACCTCTCAGCAGTATGGTGAAGACTTTGGACTGCTTCTAGAATAATGCTTTTTAGAGAATAAAACAAAATCAAAGGATCAAAAAGGAAATAACTTTTTGAAATATGGCTTCTGAAATTATAAAAAGTTTTGATATGGTAATACATGTAATAATACACTAACAGTACTAAATACTTGGATCCAATGTCAGGTGTAATTACCATCATTTTATTTTTTTAATGTTTATTTACTTTTTTTGAGAGACAGAAGCATGGGTGGCATGGGGGGTGGGGTGGGTGAGGGGGCAGGGAGAGAGGGAGACACAGAATCCGAAGCAGGCTCCAGGCTCTGAGCTGTCAGCACAGAGCCTGATGCGGGGCTCAAACTCATGGGCCATGAGATCATGACCTGAGCTGAAGTCGGACGCTAAGCCAACTGAGCCACCCAGGCACCCCTAAGTACCATCATTTTGAAGTAATGAGGACCACAAATGATACTTGGGGATTCTTGGAGAAATGCGATGTGAAAAATCTGTGATTTCTTTTGATGACAAAGCCATACATACTGCTAATGTAATTTTCTTATATTAATCATCAAAGAATATGATAAATTTTAGTAAGAGAAAAGTAAAAATAATGATATAGTGTTTCTCCCATACAGGTTTACAAACCCCTTGAGTTCTATCCAGACTAAGAAGACCTACTTTAAAATGATCTCAGAGGGGCACCTGACTGGCTCAGTTGGGTAAGCATCTGACTTTGGTTCAGGTCATGATCTCATGGTTTGTGAGTTTGAGCCCTGTATCCAGCTCTGTGCTGATAGTCTGGAGCCTGCTTCAGATTCTGTGTCTCTCTCTCTCTCTGCACACCCCCCCCCCCGCCCCCACTCATGCTCTGTCTCTCTCTTTCAATAATAAAATAAACAATAAAAAATTTAAAAAAATGATCTGAGGAACTTTCCTACTTCCATTGCTCCTGCCACTGACCTAATTAGGGGCCTTCCTTCCACATGGAATCTCCACAGGCGCTTGATTGGCTCCTCCCCTTTCTTCAAAGCCCAATCTTGTTATTGCAGTGTTCCCAGCATGCCTGAGAAGAGCCCCCCTCCATCCTGTCACCTAAACTGAGTGCTGAGTATCAGGCTTTGTCTCCTCAGTAGAGCTCAGACTCGTCCATCTTCTCCACCCAGCTTGACCATCTGATTGGTCCATTTGATTGCTCACGGCCACCTCCCTGCTACCCTGGGTTTGCCTCACCAATCCTTCTGGAAGCACAAATCTCTCTAAAACCCAAATCAGATAATGACACCCTGTTGTTTCCAATCCTCTCCCGTCTTCACTATACAATTTGGGCTCCTTAGCCTCCCATGGCTTCTGCCCACCTTTCCACCCCGCTCCTGCAACTCTGTTCCAGCCACCTCTCACTTCTAGAGTTAGCCAAACTGGAAGATAATTGAGGGTCAGAGCAAGGGCTCTGGAGCCAGAATACCTCAGTTCAAATGCTGGCTGCACCGCTCCTTGAAGAACCACTCCATCCTTTGGGCCTCAGGGACCTCAGCTTTAATATGGAGCCGTAAGAGTGCTTGCCTCACAGAGTTCTGAGAACGAAGTGATATGACACGTGTGAAGTATTCAGAATGGGGCCATAGTATATAGAGAAGCAGAGAAAGAGAGGGACCCTGGTATTATTTCATGTTTCCCTTGTGGGGAATGACCTCTCTCATGTTTTCTGCTTGGCCAACTGGTCCTTTAGGACTCAGCTCAGGCACCTCCTCCTCCTGAGAACCTTCTGGAACATGGGCTGGGGGCCTGGGGGGGGGGCAGGCAGGGTTCTGGACTCCATGGCCCCTACCCAGCCATCACTTAGCTGCATCCCACAGGAGAATGTGCGGCCCTCTAGGTGTGGGAGGTGGCTCCCTCCGTTTGTAACCCAGGAACCGCAGAGAGCCAGGCACAGGGCGGGTGGGTGTTCAGCAAGTGTGTAGAGGCTGAATGGATTAAAGAGAGAATTCAAACCAAAGGACAAAGTGTTAAATAAAGAGAAGCCAGTTCTCTCCTACTCTCCTGACAATTTGCTTTTCAAAGTATTATATACAACATGGACCATGGACTTACCGTACTGTTTTTCTGCATGGTCCTGTCTGCAGTGAATCCCTCCCTGGCCAATTCTGGGGCTCGATAGCATGAAGCTTCTGAAAAAGAGAAAAATGTAACATAGGGTCTGGGAGGTGTGGTGGGGGGGGGGGGCGGGGAGTGGGCAGGACTCTCCACCACCAGCCACGGACAAGGAAACCCTCAGGAAACAGGCATCCAAGGACAGGATATGCGCTTAATACTCTTTTAGCAAAGGAGACTACAGCAGTAGGAGCAAGGATTTAAGCATATTTTTAAGAATGGAAGAGAAAAACCTGCTGTGTGGGGCCCTGGCTGAGGGCACGTCCAACATGGCGATGGCCCTGACTTTAGTTAGAGCTGTCCTCATTCTTTCCTTTTCAAACAGTACAAAATAATTCATGTCTTGGGAAAAGATGAAACAATGCAGAAGGGGAGAAAGTAAAAAAACAAAAAAAACAAAAAACAAAAAACAAAAAAAACCCCAAAGCCCCCCAAAACAAAACAAACAAAAAACCAAAAAACCCCCAAACCCCAAACTTCCTATTCCCCAGAGGCACCCTCTGCCTCTGTGCAGATTCGCACCCCCAGGGAGGCTGACACTTGCAAGCATGCTCAAAACATCAGAAAGTGAAATCACGCCTGGATTTGTCCAGAGAGACAAACCGGATGGACATGCTACCACACTTTTTTTTTTAACAGCGGACAAAGAAACGATTTAAAATATAACATGTAAAGGAACCCTTTCTATCAGAGATGGCCTGGGGTATAGAGGCACAGAATGGAGAGCAGGCTTTGGGGTTGGCCTCGAACCTGTGCTCTTCCTCGCGGCTCCCGCAGGAGAAATGGCCCCCACTCAGCAGGAGGGCCTAGCATTTCTGGCGGGCGGCCCGGGGACGGTCCCATTTAGAAATGCGCCCCGGGGGGATGGGGGGTCCGAGGTGGGTTGAGAGAGGGCCCGCAGCTTCAGGGCAGGGCTAGGCGCTGGGGCCTGGGAGCAGAGGCGGGGCCTCAGCCCCGGGTGCGACCTTCCCCAGCCCCCTCTTTGCGGCTACCAGCGCTCTAGCGACTTGACCTTGCGGGACCAAGGGAAGCTCAGCACCCGGAGGGCCGCGCTCCGGCGAGCGGAAGCAACAGTTGTGCGAAGGGAAGGGGAGACGGGGCGGGGAGGGCAGCGCTGGCGAGTCTAAACCTGCCGGCCTAACAAAGGCCTGGAGTGAGGCTCACCGAGGGGACCGTGCTGGGTGGTCCATGCGGGCAGTTCTGGGGCCACATGGAGAGGGAGCCCAGACCCTCCCTTACGGGGTGTCATTCCCCAACTCCCCAAGGGACCAACCTGCCCTTTACTGTGGACCAGCCTGCCCTCAGTAACCACCCCCCCCCCCCCCTTTGCTTCCAGGCCTCTCTCACTTGCACCCTGGCTTGGGGGGTAAAGGTGGGTGGCTGTGGTACCTTTGTTTACGAAATCCCCAGCCTGCAGCATCCAGGTTTCAGACAGGCAGGGATGAGATGAATCCTCTTTGGGGAGGCAGAGGTAGTGCGGCTGCGTTCCCTCGTTTAAAAAGGAGCCCTTGGAAACCAATTTGCTCTAACGATGTTGTCAGCTCCAGTCCACCGTGGGTTCTCCACTAAGGCGGTCCTTCTTACCTTCTGCACCGCTCCGGGCTTGCCTTCTGTGTCCTCCTGGGGTAGGAATATCTTGATCCACTCCTGGGGCTTCAACTTGGACCAGTCAGGAAGATGCTTGTCAGCTTTAAAATACTCACACTCCTAAATGGATTAAAAAATAATATTGTCGGGGTGCCTGGCTGTCTCGGTACAGAATGCAACTTTTGATCTCGGGGTTGTAAGTTCGAGCCCCACGTTGGGTGCAGGGATTACTGAAAAATAAAAAATAAAAAGAAAAGAAAATTGTGAGTAAGCAAAGCAAAACATTTGGGAAGTGAATGAAATTAAGCGCTAACAGGGAGCAGAAAACATATGCTAGAACGGTAAATTCTGCTAATGTTTGATTTTAAAGTTTTTAAAATAATGTGTTTCTGTTTGGTTTAAATGATTTTAAACAGCTAGCTGGCTTCTCCTGGTCTAGAGTCAAACTTTCTGGCTCAAAGCTGTTCCCATTGTTCCTGCTCCTCATTGGCTTACTGCTGCCTCCCTGTGTCTGATCTAAAAATCACAACACAGTGTTCTGCTTCACAAATACAGGGTAGAACCCCCCCCTCCCCACCAGTCTATTAGCTTCCATGACAATAAATTACACAGGATTAAAGCGATGCTTAAGTTTGTTAGCGAGAGCTGTACATATCACCTACCTTCCTTCTTTCCTTCCTTTCTCCTTCCTTCCTCCTTCCTTCCTCCTTCCTTCTTTCTTTCTTTCTCTTTCTTTCTTCCTTCACCCTTCCTTCCTTCCTTCCTTCCTTCCTTCCTTCCTTCCTTCCTCCTTCCTTTCTTCCTTCTCCTTCCTTCCTTCCTTTCTTCCTTCATTTGGGAACAAATCTTCTTGGAAAGTTCGAGTGTGATTTATATCTAATTATGACACACCAAAACATTTCCATTATGAGCTACCAAGGACTTCTTTGAGTCAGGAGTGAGGCAGAAACTTGTCAGTTGCATCCCATCAGAAGTTTCCCAACAGGCAATGATGTTGACGATGGTACACATGAGGAAAGTATTCACTGTGACTAATAGTTTTGAAGAAACAATTTTTATGCCATAGTGGATAAAGTTGTGAGAAAGGCTTGACTCCCAGGGTCAATGGTAAAGCCGAAGGTAATTCTTACTGCACATGGTACCAATAACCAAAGAAAAGACTGAAATGTGTCAGGAGGTCAGGTTTTGGGGTCACTATTTAAA